ATTTTATGCAAGTTTGAAAGATTGAATGTTTATTGAATGAATATTTATTGAACGAGGATGATGTTATAAAGGATATGGCTGTAAGAATGAAAGGAAAATTTGAAAAATATTGGAAGAATTATTGTGTATTGTTAGCTTTTGAAGCTATTCTTGACCCTTATTTAAAGCTTGAATTTTTAAGATTTTGCTACACCAAACTTGTTTCTTTAACTTCTCATGAGAAGGTCAACAATGTGAAGGATAAGTTTGATAAACTTTATGGAGAATATGCAAACGATTTTAATGCTATAAGTGGCTCTTAACCTTCCAATGAATCCAATTTGTTGTCAAAGTCACATGGAGATGGAAATAGGTCAAAGAAATCAAGATTGTTTAATGTATGTTCTTTTATATCATTTTAATTAGGGTGTGTTTCTTATTTTTATTTTGTTTAAAGGGTTATTATGTTATATTTTGTAGGAGTTTAAATTATTTCAAAATGAAACTAGGTCTACCATTGATAAGAGTGAATTGAATTTGTATTTGGATGAGTCACAAGTTGATTATGATGATACTGAAGAATTTAATGTGCTTTATTATTAGAAGAATAATGAAAAGAAATTTACAATACTTTTTATATTAGCACGAGATGTGCTTAGTATTTCAATTATTACAGTAGCATTAGAATTTGCTTTTAGCATTGGTGAACGTGTTCTCACTAAATATAAAAGTTCAACACTTTCAGAAAATGTACAAATGTTAATTTGTACAAAGAATTGGTTGCATGACTTTGTTAAAAGTCCAAGTAGTAATATTTATTGTAATAATCTTTTATGATTATTATATAATTTGTACAAACATAATTCTAATTTTGTTACTTTTGAATTTTAGATAATGATGAAACAAAAACACCAGAGTCTAGTATGCAACAAGCCGTTGAAGAGTAACAAGCAGGTGGAGTATAAATCTATTAAGAATTAATGTGTTGAGTTTTCTTTTTTACTAATTACTTTATCATTTATTTTTGTTTCTTTCAGAGAGTAAATGACAAAGGTAAATTGACACTTGACAATTTTAATGGGTTCAACATTATTCTACAATAGATAATGATGAGTCTTGCAGTGACATATTGGCTTTGTGAATTTTGTTGTTATTTGCTTTTTATTTTTGCTAAAAAGACAAAAGAGCCCTTGAAATTAGTTTTGTTTGCACTTGAACTGATTTTCTTTTGTTATAGATGATTTTATGTAAATTTAGATTATTTATAGAAATTATATTACTGCACTAATGTTTAATTGCTTATGAAATATTTAGTTGTATCTTGCATGTTTAATTATTTATAGAAATTCTCTAAGTTGCTTATTAAGAGAGTGTATATGTTGTTTTGGCATGATTGATATTTAGGAATGAAATTAAAATTGAGTTAGAATTTATAATTGCTGGAATTTTTTGGCCCTTGAAGCCTTAACCCTAACCCTAGCCCTATGGGCTTTTTGGTCCATAAGGCTTTTGATTTATTGGGCCTTTTGGCCCTAACCCACATAGGCTAGAGTTAGGGCTAGGCCAGTTAGGCTTTTTGACACCTCTAGCCTCGTGCTACAATTGTGTGATATCATCATATACTTTTCCAGAGGATAAAACAACAATAGTCCCAATTATTGTGCTTCTAAGCAGTATATAGATCCCTCCTTATAGCTTTCATTTCAGCACCACCATTGCACCCTTAGTCACCTTCGAAAAATCATATTCTCCAACTAACTTGTACCCTCATTTATTTTGAGCATTCATTGAGATTAGGTTCCTCCTAAGATTCAATACATGTTATGCCTGAATTGTCCTTTCAGTATCATTATCCAATTTGATTTGCACCACTCCTTCACATATAACTCCAATAATTATATTGTCTCCTAATCTAACCTTCCCTTTTCTTTTTTCTTACGAGGAGAAAAAATGCTTATTAGGGGTCTTGTGAAATGATGCGTTAGAATTAAAGATCCACTCATTCCCTATGTCACCATTGGTAATTGTTAAAGGAAAATCAACATCATTATCTTTAAAACTTTTAACATTTATGTTGGCAAAATTTTATAATTTTCTTCTTTCAAGACAATTTTTTTCGAATATGTCTTGTTTAGTGATAATGAAAATATTTTAGGGATTGATCTCTTTTAGATTTGGATCTATTCTTCCTTTTACTTCATGATACTCTTTCTTGGTTACGTCTTCTTCACAAACAACTCATATGTAGGATTATCAACCCTAGATCCAAATGTTAATTTCTATTGCTCTTTCATCATCAAAGACTTTTTTGACAACCTTAACTGTAATGAAAGACCTACCATACATTATGGTATTACATAAATTAACATAAGATAGAGGTAATGAAGTTGATAAGATCATAGTCAGATCAATACCTTCAAATGTTAGTCTAACCGCTTGCACATCAGTGATCATCCGATTGAAGTTGTCAATATGGTCTTTAATTGATTTTTCTCTGGAATATTTGAACATGTACAATCTCTTTCTTTAATAGAGTTGGTTTGACAAAGTTTACACATAATATTTTTCTTCTAATGCCTTTCATAATGAGTCTGTAGTCTTTTCTTCCATAACTTCTAACAACACGTTATTTGTTAGGCTTAGTTGAATTGTACTTCATGATTTGGTCGTTATCTCCTCATTTTTATTAGAAGACAATTTTTCTAATAACTTCTCAATGTCTTCCAATGCCTTTGTCAGACGTTGCTAGTCTAACAATGCTCACAACTTCAACTTTTATAAGTTGAAGTTGTTGGATTCATCAAATTTCTCCATTTTAAATTTTGATATTGATATTTCAAATTAAGTGTCTTTGATACCACTTATTAGGAAATCAGAGTTAAATATTCTCCATACATGTGAACAACTTAATGAATATGAGAGGAAGGGTACTCAAAATAATTAAATGATTAAATAATTTTTTTAGCAAATAATAATTAAAATACAAGAGATATTAGTGAAACTTCTTCCTACTACAATAGTAGTCACTAAAGAGTATATCCAAAATTTTTAGTGTTTAAACTCAAAATTACACTAAAGGAATGTTTCATTTTTCTTTACAAAGATGCAACAAATATTTATAATAAATCTATATGTTCAATTTGCCACACCTATAGAAATAGGCTTCAACTTAATAGCAAGACTTTCCAATAACTTTAACAAAATTAAACCACATACTTAACCATACTAACATTATTAATAATGATTAAATTCATCTTTCTATTACAAAATTGATTTCTTAAGTGGTTTGCTCTCTATTTCTTTTGTTTTGTCTTGCAACTTGTTTTTGCTACAAATTAGTTCAAAATATTATCTAAACTAAATGAAGCAAATATTTTGAAAGGTTAATAAAAGTGCAAATTTTGTTTCCGACAAAATTGAGACAATTATATTTTGACAAAATATTCATGAATGATATCTTTTGATATCTTTTTATATTTTTTAATAAAAATTATAATTTCTTTAATTATTCATATCTATAAGATATATCACAAGTATTATTAAAAAAGTTATTATATATTATACTTTTTTTATAACATACATAATCTTATTATAATTAAATAAGGGATAAATATTTTTTAGTTTCTATACAAGAACTTTTTTTGTAATTTAGTTCCTATATGTAAAAATTTATATATCAATCTCTATATGAAAATTTATTTTTAATTTCATCCCTACTATTACGATACATTATAACAATGTTAGCCATCTCTCTTTTATGGCAAATGATTGTTCAAAGTAAGAGGTTTAAATTGTCTTTTAGTTGCTATACAATACCTTTTTTTTTTTGTAATTTAGTCCTTATGAAAAAAAAAATGTATATCAATCTCAATGCAAAAATTTATTTTCAATTTTGTCTCTATCTTTAGAGTGGTATTTCAAATTTTTTAAATAAATTTCATATTTTGGTTTAACATTTTTTAGTCTAGTTTTATATATTGATTCGTCTTTATATGAGCATTACTTTCAATAATTTCATCTCCAATATCATTATTTGTATACTTCATCATATCTCATTATAATTATCATTTTTTTCTTATTATTTTTATTTCAATATCTTGAATCTTGATTATGTCCCTTTAAGTCATATCCAAAGTTAAGAACTTTCATTTTCTATATCCTTGATATATTTATAAGAAAATCAGAATTACTTTTTAAATTATATTTTTATTCATTTTTGCAACCACAATTTGACTATATTAAAAAAAATAACATTAAAATAAGGATGATAAAAAAAATATGATTATTATGATAATATAATGAAATAGATAAATAGTGATATTTAAAATAAAAATATTAAAAGTAATATTCATATAAATACAAATTAAATTATAATTTTTACATAAATTAGAAACAAAAATACGTTAAATTATATAATAAAGTTCAACATTATAAGTTAAAAATATAAAAAATTGTTATGAAGCCTTTTAAAGAATTTAAAATATTTCGGTAAAATTAATAAAAAAAAGTTACTTGATATTGTTATGAAGACATTATTATTATTATTATTATTATGACATAGACACAACTAAAAATAAATTTTCATATAAAAATTAATATTTAAATTATTTGACTTATAAAGACTAAATTATATAAAAAAAATTGTATAAGAGTTAAAAATTAATTTAAATATATCATGTTAAAAAGTAATTTATTATTTAGAAGAGGGAGCTAACGTTGTAAAATAATTCTTATATAAAATCTGATATACAATTTTTTTTACTATTATAAATCAAATTACAAAAATAATATTAGATAAGATCTAGAACATCATTTATGGCGTTAAATAACAATATATTTATATATTTATATTCAATTCAATTTGCAAAATAACTAATGAAAAAAAAAAACATTGTTATTGTCAGTTAACCAAGAATTTTCACCCAAAAAAGATACACAGTACAAGGAAAGCAAACAATTTCATGGTTGTTTATAACCCATTATTCATAAAATAAAACAGTTCGCTTGAAACGACGGAGTAGTCATCGCATCATTTTCATGGTCGAAAAGGAAGCATTGATCACGAACTCGATTCACCTTCGGCAGTTGAATTAACAGAAGAAGAATATTAGAAAGTAAAAACTCGAAGAAATCAAATCAATCGTCTCTCATCGGAAGCGATTCTGTTTATGAACGCTATCGATTTCATTGGTAACCGATGGAATCACCTGGTGAGGTTCTTTTCCACTTGCACCGATCCATCATTTCCGTTTCACCATTTCCATTTGTTCATCACATTCGCTTCACTTTCAGGTGCTGCGAAGGACACCTCAATTATCGTGGTGACGCTCGATTCCGACGAAGTCTACATCATCGCGAGCCTCTGCACCCGAACGGACACTCAGGTAATCTACGTGGATCCAACCACCGGTGCACTTCGCTACGAAGCCAAGTTAGGGTTCGATCTATTCAAGTCTCAGAAGGAGGCTTTGGATTTCATCACCAACGGGTCGCGATTCGGGTGCAAGAGCCGCACCTATGCTAGGGCTATATTAGGTTACGCCGCGTTCGGTAACCTCGCGTTGCTCCTTGTGGCTACTAGGTTAACTCCTAGTGTTCCCAATTTGCCTGGTGGAGGTTGCATTTACACGGTGGCTGAGAGCCAGTGGGTCAAGATTTCGCTGCAGAACGCGTTGGTGCAGGGGAAAGGAGAGGTGAAGAATGTTCAGGAGTTGACTGAACTTGATATTGATGGGAAGCATTATTTCTGTGAGACTAGGGATATTACTCGCCCTTTTCCGAGTCGCTTGCCGGTGCACGAACCGGATCAGGAGTTTGTTTGGAATGGATGGTTCTCGACGCCGTTTGTTAATATTGGATTGCCGCGCCATTGCGTCACTCTCCTGCAGGTTTTGTGATCTCTTCTGTTTGCGTTTTTTGAGTGCTTGTGGAATGTGTTGCTTTCGTTGGATGCTGAAAGTTTTTTGTGTGGATGAATTGATTGGAGAGAGGTGAGTTTGTTAGGAGTGTTGATAGTTTGTTGTGTGACAGCGTTGGAGAATTTAAATGAAGAGATATGCAATTTGCTTTCTGAGAAATGGTATTTGTTGCATGGCTATGTTAAAGTTTTTGGGGTGGTTGGAAGAGCTTATTGAGAACTTGTGAAAATAATTTGATGCTTGTGAACTCTGTTTAGCTTATTTTAATAAGTTTATTGGTGTAGGTTATCAAAATAAGTTCTTTTTAACTTATTTGAATAAGTTTTATAATTGAATTTATGTCATAACCTTTCATGTGATTTGAGTTTATTGAATAAGTGCTTAATTAGGTTGTATGTCCAAACATACCGTTTGTCTAACTACGTAGGGGACTGATTTGTATGGACAATAACTTTAAGAGATGAATGCAACAAGTAAAATCTTTCAGGAAGCAAAATGTGTTTATTCACACGTAAAAAAAAATTGTGTATTTACTCATTTACATTCTTTGTTGCTAACATCACAATATTTACACAAAGTGAAGTTGGACAAACATTTTGTGTGCCATTTTGAAGGTTTAAGTATATGTTGATTGTTTTTTTTTTTTTTGGCTCCAAGTTTTCTTTCTTTGTTGTTTTCATTCTGTTTGGAATTTATGTACAAATAAAAGGTCCAACAGGCTCTGTCTCAATTTTTGTAGCAGTCTGTGCCAAAGATCATGTATATATAGAGCAATTAAGATTTAAAATTCACACGTGATTGCTGTTGGTTCACTTGGTCTTGATGTGTAGGGGTTTGCAGAATGTCGAACTTTTGGAAGCTCAGGTCAACTAGAAGGTATTGTTGCTCTCACCGCTCGTCGGAGCAGGCTACACCCGGGTACTCGTTACTTGGCAAGGGGGCTAAATTCATGTTTTAGTACAGGTGAAGAGACCTATCATTGAGTGTTGAACTTAAAATTTTCCATCCTATAATGAACTGAGTGATTAACTCCCATAAAAATAGCAATCAGGCTTGTTAAGGAGGTCATTTATCTTAATCTTGAAAATGAAGCACTGACTCTGACATAGATACCGGACATGACACGACACGACGCGACGCAGACACCTGGACATGACTGATGTCCAAAATATAGGACACCACTTATACACACACATATATATATAGACATACATACATATGTAATGCTAAGGGTCTAAGACAACATCATCCATTGCAAAAGGAATTAAATGAGGGAGTTTTGGAGCTGAAACGTAAACTTGCAGAGGAAACATCTTTTAATTTTTTAACCAATTTAATTTTTTTTAAATATAATCTTTGGTGTTGAAATAGTTTCCCGCCATGTCAAGCTGTGTCTAGCTGCAAAAAAATATTTTTAAATTTGGACACTTGTAGACAAATGTCTGACATGTGTCCAAGCAGCATCGCGCCGGTGTTGGTGTCGCACCAGTGTCGGACACCCTAACACTCCACTGGATGGAGGTGTTCGTGCTTCACTTGATTGATTATGATTTTCAAACTTAAGCTTCGAACTATTTAACTCATGTTCATTTTGATTTATGTTACTCTATTATACTTATCAATCCCAAATAGCAGTGCATGCCAACAAACTTTGATAATGCTATAGCGGGATGGCAGGAAGCAAGATGGCCTCAATTTTAATATTATGGTACAATTAAATAATTCATATTACACGTATACATCACATATTAAAAAGTAAAACCAAAACTAAAGAAACTCATGATAAATAATTAGTCACAGTTTACACACACAATCACCAGTAATCTAGGATCAATAAGAATACTGAAGTCAATAAATGAAAGATGATGGTGAGACTAGTAGAAAAAGAACATACAAGTTAGATGAAAATTTATGAACTCAGATGTCTAAAGGAAGAATAATGAGCAGAACACAGGGAAAAAAATAGTCCTGTAAAGTGGGAAGGAACAAAGGTAAAAACAGAGCTAAATTTTTATGTGAATGGTCAAGGAAAATGGTTTTAAATCCTCATGTTTTTAAAACAAAAAAATGCATTAGAAAATGGGGATGAAATCACAAATTTTCCTAAAAAACTGCAAATAACATTGTTTCAACGGTAAAAATGTGCATTAATATTGCCACAAGCCAAATGTTTATTAGGTTCCATTTGACAGGGAATGAAGTGGAGTGTGAGCAACTCGTATGGGTTCCCAAACGAACTGGTCAAAGTGTACCTTTCAACACATACGTGTGGCGAAGAGGCACTATTCCTATCTGGTGGGGTGCAGAACTGAAAATCACAGCTGCTGAAGCTGAAATTTATGTTTCAGATTGTGATCCTTATAAAGGAAGTGTACAATATTATCAAAGATTGAGTAAGAGATATGATGCTCGGAATATAGATATACGTGCCGGTGAGAATTCAAACCGAAAAGCTCTGGTTCCAATTGTATGCATTAATTTGCTTCGAAATGGAGAAGGAAAGTCCGAGTCCATTTTGGTTCAACATTTTGAAGAGTCTATAAACTTTGTTAGATCAACTGGGAAGCTTCCGTATACTCGGGTCCATTTGATAAATTATGACTGGCACGCCAGTATAAAATTAAAAGGTGAACAACAAACAATTGAAGGCTTATGGAAATTTCTAAAAGCACCCACTGTATCCATAGGTATATCTGAAGGGGATTATTTGCCATCACGACAGAGAATAAATGATTGCAGAGGGGAAGTTATCTACAATGATGATTTTGAAGGTGCATTCTGCTTAAGAACACATCAAAATGGGATAGTACGTTTTAATTGTGCTGATTCTCTGGATAGGACCAATGCTGCTAGTTTTTTTGGTTGCCTTCAAGTATTCATGGAGCAATGTAGACGGCTAGGGATATCACTTGATAGTGATCTGGCATTTGGTTATCAGTCAATGAATAATAATTATGGTGGATATACTGCTCCACTGCCACCTGGGTGGGAGAAGCGATCTGATGCAGTAACAGGAAAAACATATTATATTGATCATAATACAAGAACCACCACATGGATGCATCCATGTCCTGACAAACCATGGAAGAGGTTTGACATGACATTTGAGGAGTTCAAGCGGTCTACAATTTTGTCTCCTGTATCTCAGCTTGCTGACCTTTTTCTACTTGCTGGGGATATTCATGCTACTCTTTACACTGGGTCTAAAGCAATGCACAGCCAGATACTTAGCATATTCAATGAAGAAACAGGAAAGTTTAAACAGTTTTCTGCTGCACAGAATGTGAAAATCACTTTGCAACGAAGATATAAGAATGCAGTTGTGGATAGCTCTCGTCAAAAGCAGTTAGAAATGTTCCTTGGAATGAGGCTTTTCAAGCATCTTCCATCAATTTCTCTTCAACCTCTACATGTATGTGAATTGTCAACTGTCAAAGTTAACTGAGTGATGGCTTTCTGTTTCTTTTTATACATCAAGTCCCTAGCAATTGCAGTTTCATAATTCATTTCATGTTAGTTACTGAATCGCATCCTCTTTCTCTTTTAAGAACTCCTTAATTTATATTGCATATCTCTCTCTCAAATTTTTGTTTCTTCATGTCTGACTTTCGATAAGTTCACTGCAAACTGTTGACATGTAATGCCAGTTAATACAGTAGAGTTCTTTTTAATGTTAACAGTAACTAAGCTCTCTGATCATCATAGGTACCATCTCGGCCGTCTGGTTTTGTTATCAAACCAATTGCAAACTTAATTCCCATTTCTGGTGGTGAAGCTAGTCTTCTGAGTTTCAAAAGAAAAGGACTAGTCTGGGTATGTTAAATATTTCCTTCCATTTGAAGGATAATCCTGTACAATTTATGACTGTTCTATCATGTATGATTTTTTAAATAATATGTACTGAAAAACTTCTAAATTTTATGTATCTCGTCTTACAAAAATATGTACACCTTTTCCTTTCACAGATTTGTCCACAGCCTGCAGATGTAGTTGAAATCTTTATTTATCTTGGTGAGCCTTGCCATGTTTGTCAGCTTCTTCTCACAATATCCCATGGTGCAGATGATTCAACTTATCCATCAACAGTTGATGTACGGACAGGATGCCATCTAGATGGGCTTAAACTGGTCTTAGAGGTCTGTATTTTGCTCTCTCTATGTCTCATACATTGTAATAACCATGTATGCATAATACTGCAGAAAGAGTTGTATTTATCATGCTAACTGAATAGGAAGAGGGCTTGTGCTCATTTATGTTGTGTGCAAAATGATAAAAATTTCTAGCAGGAACAGTTTGAAAGACATTAACTTATGATATTATTGACTGTTTGAAATCTTTATGATTATATAAGGTGATATCTGCTTCAATATAAAAGCAAAATTTTGAATTTTAATAAATCATGATGTATGTAGCTGTAGTGAATAGTGATAGGAATTCTGGAGCTTATTTGAATGTAGATCTGACATCTGAACCTGTATGACATCTATTGGCAGGGTGCTTCAATACCACTCTGTGCGAGTGGGACCAACTTATTAATACCCTTACCTGGGGTAGTTAATACTGAAGACATGGCTATAACTGGAGCAAACTCTCGACTACATGCCCAAGATGCATCACCTTTGTCATTACTGTATGATTTTGAGGAACTTGAGGGAGAGTGGGATTTCCTTACACGTGTGGTTGCACTAACCTTTTATCCAACTGTTTCTGGAAGAAATCCACTAACGCTTGGTGAGGTAGAAATTTTGGAACATATCATTAATTGATGATGAGTCATGGCTTGACTAACTATAATATTCTTTAGCTGTTATCTTTGATTTTCAATGTTGGATGCATGAATGTTCTATTTTGTCTTGCGACTGAAAAAAGTCAATATAGTGCAACAGTGGTACATAATTTAAATGAATAGGTGAGTTGATAATCCACAAATATAAATTGAAATTCTTCATGCAACTATTTTCAATTGCAAAAATCCCTTTCTTCTCTTATTCTGGATAATGTTTGTAAATATGACTTAGATTCATTTGGATGTTTTTTGTTTATAATGTATTGTGTGGAAATCCATGACGAAATTGAAGTAAAATTTATTGACCGCTTTCTGCTGCTTGTTTTTAACTACTGGTGGTAAAATATCTTGTGCATTTAATCCTAAAGTTTCTAGTTAAGTGAATACTTGTTTGTGGGTGTTAAATTTGGCTGTATGTCAACAATAATGAAAACTTTTTCCTTCCTGAAATGACTTACTACTATCATATTTTCATTGTTTCCTTTTTTCTGCAAATCATTTTCAATTTCATGAACCAGAAATATTTTCTAAAATCTTTAGCTCTTGAAATTATATTTGAAAATTTTAAATCAGGATGTGCGCTCCAAATGAAATGCAACTTGATTTTCAGTCTCCCTCCACTTGTTATTAGACCAATGCTTTACTTGTATATGCACTCTTATTATCTTTGTGTCTATTATTTCAATTGTTTAATTAATTGTCTGTTCCTCTAATTCTATTTTCAAGTTAGGGATGTAAATTTGGGTTTTATCTAAATCTTAAATTGCTGCTATATGATGATGTGGTTTGGCTATAGATTGAAATCCTTGGAGTTCCTCTGCCTTGGAGGGACATATTTACTAATGAAGGCCCTGGTACAAGGTTAATTGAGCATGCCAAGAAGTTTAAAGAGGAGCTCAATCCCTTTTTATCTGATTCAGATTCAAATCCATTTAACCCTTCATCCACAGAAAAAGTATCACCACCCATGCAAGAAGGCACTTCTGGTGACCTTTTGATTGACCTCCTGTCTGGGGAGGAACCACTTCCGCACCCACTTGCAAATGTTGTTTGCCAGGAAAGAGACCCACTTGATTTCTTGGACCTGGGTGTTGAATATCATAATGCCAAAAGTGATTGTAAAGTTTCATCTGAAGATGCAAGACATTCAGATACTAATGCTGAACAATATTTAAAATGCTTGAGGACTCTCGCAGGGCCAAATTTGGTATGTTATCAATTTGACCATGTTCCTATTAACCATTATAAGTTTTCTTGTTTAATTTGTCCAATACAATCAACTCCTAGATTTGATATGAATTTTCTTTCCCCAAAACATTTCTTTTCTTGTGATAAAATTTTCACTCCTTAATTATTCTATTATTATTGTTTGTGGAAGACAATTTTGTTTGAATTTGGTTTTTATCTGTGCCATCTTACGTGCACAAATACATCAAAATTGGCAATATATTAGAATTGTACCTGTACCAGTTACTCAATATGCACATAATACAGCTGCCTCAGTATTAAAACTTAATTGGGTTATCTTTGAATCTCTTAATGTACATTTTTTTGGATAATAAAATATTATTATCATAACTTGAATACAATATTTTTAATTAAATTTGATTATGATTATGTATTTTTAATTATTTTTTCAAGAGGTTAAAGATCAGTAGTAATACAATGATGATAGTAAAATGATATAATTATCAGCTATATTAAAAATGTAACACTTGTTTACCCTGTTTGAGATATATGAGTTGTGTTTATGGCTTCTGTCTAGTACTCATGGCTATTTGATATGCAGAGAGACTAGACAGCCTTGATGCATTATTGATTTTTCTTCATCTGTTTTAGAGGATTTTTTTCTGCTGATATGTACTTTCTTCATTTCTCCCAAATAAAATTATTTTATAAAAAATTGGCCAATGTTGTCTGTGGATGTAACTGGTTAATAGTGAGTGGTTAATCAGTTGCTTAAACTTGATTCAATAGTTATCATTAATCTGTTCCCTTGGGGTGGCTTGGCTGACTTTTCAGAAATTAAAACCCCCCTCCCCCAACCTAAAAATACAAGTTATATTGTAGCTCTTAAACATATTACATAGTTGTTATTTTGGTATCATTAATTTAAACATATTACATTTTTGTAGCAAAGAAAGCTTGACTTCATTGAAGCCATGAAACTTGAAATTGAACGCCTTAAGTTGAATCTTTCTGCTGCTGAAAGGGATAGAGCCCTGCTATCTGTTGGAATGGATCCTGCAACCATAAATCCTAATACACTGCTTGACGAAGCTTACATGGGAAGATTATCTAAAGTTGCAAGTAATCTTGCATTGCTTGGAGAAGCTTCTCTTGAAGATAAACTTGTTGCTGCAATTGGTCTTGGGACTGTTGATGATAATCCAGTAGATTTCTGGAATATTATCAGAATTGGGGAAACCTGCTATGGTGGCAAGTGTGAGGTGCGTGCTGAAACTAAAAAGGCAGTTCATTCATCTAACGTGACATCGGCTGGTCCTTCAGAACCTGTGTTCGTGTGTTCTCAATGTGAAAGGAAGGTTTGCAGAGTTTGCTGTGCTGGTAGAGGGGCACTTCTGCTTCTAGGATATAACTCAAGAGAGGTTATGAATTACAATGGTGCATCAAGCCAAAGTGGCCAAGTTGACTTACCTGTAAATCGTTTATTAGCTCGGGATGGTATAATTTGTAAACGGTGCTGCCAGGATATTGTGCTTCATGCATTGATTTTGGACTATGTGAGGGTTCTGATTAGCTTACGGAGAACAGAACGTGTGGAAAAGGCTGCTTACAATGCTTTGAAGCAAATCATTGGATCATCTTGGGATGGTCTTTTAGAAAAGAACCAGGCCTCTGACTGCAAGTCTGCCAGCCAAGCAGTACAGTTGTTGCTGAACGGATATGAATCCCTGGCTGAATTTCCTTTAGCCAGCTTTTTACACCCGGTATGTTTTTTAAACTCAAAATTGTATTCTCATTTTGGGCACTGCTGCATTTTATTTTGTGTTTTTATGTGAATTATCATGCACATGCTGTTTTTTCTACCAAAAATGTGTTTAATCCATGTTATATGACTTATATCAACAGATTGCCGGATGGGTTTACTAGCAATTATCGAAATAATTTTAATATTTAATGGTTTGTTAACAAATTTGGGTTTAATTTTCCATTCAAAGAATCACATGAATTTTAACCATGAAATTGAAAGAATTGTGTATATCTTTTTTCGTAGCCAAATTCTCAGGTACAATTACATGGTCTCCTTTTGCTAGACCACTAGAGCAACATTGAAGATTTTTAAGTGATGTATCCAGACAACATAATAATGTTGAACTATTTTCATTGGCAGCTTTCTAACATGAATGTTGAACTATTTTCATTGATTTAATCAACTATGGATTTTGATTATCCCCTTGTTTGTACTAATTGCATGTTAAGTGAAGCATTATTGGGGGTAATTTGTGTTATGTTATGATGTAGCAAAAAGAAAATAAGTGTTTGCTACATTGGGGAGCCAAATCACCAACATGATTTTGATCCTTCAAATGCAGGAGATCTAGTCCTATTTTTGAAACCTATATATATGTTACAAATAACCATTGTATCATTCAATTGCAGGTTGAAACAGCAGCAGATTCTGCTCCATTTTTGTCATTGCTTGCCCCATTTAATTCTGGTTTGCGATTATCATATTGGAAAGCTCCATCTAGTGTCACCTCAGTCGAATTTGGAATTGTCCTTGGTAATATTTCTGATGTTAGTGGGGTTATATTGATAGTCAGCCCATGTGGCTACTCTATGGCTGATGTTCCAATTGTAAGTACCCATTTATCATTTGATTTGTGCTTTATTTTTCCTTTTTATTACTTATTGAATTAAGAATTTAACACTAGGATTATGTCGGCACAGGTGCAAATTTGGGCAAGTAACAAAATACACAAGGAAGAAAGATCCTTAATGGGAAAATGGGATTTGCAATCTGTGATTAAAGCTTCCTCGGAATTATATGGCCCTGAAAAGGCAGGAACAGAGCATAAAGTGCCAAGACATGTGAAGTTTCCCTTCAAGAATTCCGTTCGATGCCGCATAATTTGGATAAGTTTACGCCTTCAGCGACCTGGATCTAGTTCTATAAATATCGGAAATGACTTCAATCTGTTGTCTCTAGATGAGAACCCTTTTGCACAAGAAACTCGGCGTGCATCTTTTGGAGGATCTGCTGAAAGTGAACCCTGTCTTCATGCCAAGAGGATTTTAGTGGTCGGAAGCCCCATTAGAAAGGAAATTGATCTTAAGCAGCAACAAAGCTCTGACCAGGTGACCATGACAGGGTGGTTGGAAAGAGCTCCACAGCTAAATAGATTCAAGGTAAAAATCTATGCTTTGTTTATCCTTTTGTGATAACTATTTTGTTTTTGAAGTTATCTGTCTCAAAAACATTGGTTAACCTCTCATTTTCATAGGTTCCAATTGAGGCTGAAAGATTGTTGGACAATGATCTTGTCCTGGAGCAGTATCTGTCTCCTGCTTCTCCCTTGCTTGCGGGGTTTCGATTAGATGCCTTCAGCGCAATCAAGCCTCGGGTTACCCATTCTCCTTTGTCTGATGTACATAACAAGAATTTTTCATCCCTTTTGGATGACAGATACATCACTCCAGCTGTATTGTATATACAAGTATCTGTTCTCCAGGTATTTACTGGAACATTGTCATACTGCTCTGTCACTTAGTTTTCTCTTGCTTAGGTATAGCCATGGAGGCTCTCCTTCCATGAATTGCTGTTTTCGAAAACCTCTGATTTTGTACACTTAATCTGTACTTTGTTTGATGGGGTGAAAACAACCTGATGTACTTTGCTTGATTGCAGGAATACCATAGCATGGTAACTGTTGGTGAGTACCGATTACCTGAGGCTAGGGCTGGAACACCGATGTACTTTGATTTCCCTAAGCAGATACAAACTCGCAGAATTTCATTCAAACTGCTTGGAGATGTTGCAGCTTTTACGGATGACCCATCTGAACAAGATGATTCTGGTACTAGAATTTCTCCATTGGCAGTAGGACTATCTTTGTCCAATAGAATTAAGCTGTATTACTATGCTGATCCATATGACCTTGGGAAATGGGCTAGCCTGGGAGCAGTTTAGTTACACGTCAGTACTTTGGTTATTACATTGGTTGTTTGTGCAAGTTTTCACATTTTGTTGTATTATGGTATGTAAAGCTCATTCATTGGTGTAACAATATTGTAGGATTATTCTACTAGGGACATTAGTAATGCATTTCTGGCCACTTGTGGTTAGCATGGAAAGGTGGGAGTTTTGATTTTGGTTGGAGGTTCAATTTTAGGAGCTCATTAGTCTGCTAAGAGTGAAATTCATTTTTGACTCGTTTATCTTCAATGTATTTGTTTTTTTTATTTAATATTTTTACAGATCTAGTACAAGAGATAGGCTCTGGTTGAAATATTTTACGTTGTAGGAGGTTTCAATTATGTCATCGAAACTGGCAAGCTGACGAACACTTGATCATATAGCATAATTTCTCTTTATCCTGTTACATTGTGTGTGTACCCTTCTCGTTCCTTCATCTTCATGATCCTCTTGGGAGAGGATGGATAATGGTTATAGATATTTTATGGGCTCATTTAATAATATGGTTTGGCAACGTAAAAGAAAACGTTGCGTTTCAATACATAAATCTTAAGCAGTGTATACAAAGTAAAGGCAAAGGCTGGGAGGGTCCACAATAGACAAAGCGATGGAACCTTATCGGGAACGGGCCAATGAATTTCCACAATAAATCACACATTTCTTGTTCTAAAGAATATCGACTCCTAGTTCTTGTCCGCTAGACTGAGTATTTTCCTATTTCGTGACACGAGATAACCACCAAAAAAAATTTATTTTTTCTCACTAAGCGTACATTTCCTGCGGCTGTTTGCTTCTGTTTTTCATTTCAAAGTTGAAATCGATGGCTCATTTGCTGGGACAAGCTCCTACCACTGCCGCAACAGCTATCTCTGCTAGGACTAGGGTCGGGAACCGGAAGAGGAGCCCCCTCCATTCTTGGAAAAATGGTTACTTTCCAACTCCGAAAATGTGCTGCGTTGGCCACCAATTTCAGTATCAGGCCTCTACAATCTCTGATCATGATCAACTCCCCCCTCCCGGGGATGACCACTCTCTGCGTCGCAGGTATCTCCTTTATATAGCATCAGCTGCATTACCATAATTTTTAAGTTGTTAAAATAAGAAACCTTTTGGCTTACATTATCATTATTATCAATTTATTATAATAGTTATACTCTTTTATGGACCTAATAAGACGATATAAATTAAATTAAATAGCTGACAAGCAAAGTAATAGCATGACATGATGGATCGTGCATATTGGTATTGCAATGTTGCATGCAGGACATTGATGGGGTTGAGTGGTACGTTACTGTTGGGGTTGGGTTTGAGTGATGAGCAAAGTGCAAGTTTTGCTGCAAGGCCTCCACCGCCTCCACCGAAGGAGAAAAAGGATCCGAATGTGAGCGGTGTTCAGGCAAAAGTATTGGCTAGCAAGAGGAGAAAAGAAGCCATGAAAGAAGCAATGGCCGAGCTAAGAGAGCGAGGGAAGCCCATCAATAAAGAGCCACAACCACCACCTCCTCCTCCTCCTGCATCTGAATAGTTTCTAATGTTAACCTTTCTATTGTCACTTACGAATGGTTGATATTATTGTTGTATTACTACTATCATTCAATTAAATAAGATCGTTTCGCTTACCAGTTTTTATGAAGTGAAAGGATATTCATCTGACAAGGTAGATGGTGTCATTTGACCATTCTAATTTTCCCTTCTTAACAAATTAAGAAATTAAAATGAAGAGGGGGAACAATTCCTAGTTAAATTTATCTGTGTTCCTATTCTTCCATCACAACTCAAATATTTTGCAAGAGGTCATATTAAGTATGAACAGTGGGTGCGTTTATTACTGAACCATGTCACGATGGTTACTCCCCCACGACCTTTTTTGAAGGCGTTTGAAAGCCACTGAAAAGAGAAAACTGGGGACTATAAATTCAAATTTTCGTGCTGCCATTAATTATATACCAAGATTGCTCTCTTTTTTTCTTCCCTGTCTGAAAAAATAGTCTCTTTAACTATTTTTTATGTTTATTTTCAAAATAATAGTTATTTTACAATTTTAAAGTAAAATTAATTTTTTTATAATTTTACTCGTAAAATAATTATTATCTCAAAAAACTCATTTTCAATCTCCTCTGTATTCATTTATTGCAGGACAAAATTTATAATGGATATAATAAAAAATTATAATACTTAATAAAAATAAAATAAATAAATAAATATATTTTTTAATTCTTGTGTCATAACTTTAAACCACTGATTTTAAGAGACTGAAAAAGTATTTTGTTACTAAAAGCATCTCTTGTTTTTTCTGTCAACCCTAAAAACATCTCAAAGTGGTCCTTGATATGCTATATCCTCTCATCCTTGATCCATTCACTACCGTCTGCTATTTAAGTTCTATCTACTCTTACATTTTTAAGAGGGAGATGCAATTATTACTTAGCAACTCATATATTTTTACGTCCTTTAAAATGTGATATACTTCATTCTTACCTTCTCCTTTTTCATATTTTAAGTATAAATATTATTTTATTAATCATACATTTCTCCACAAGTGTAAACAATTTTAAAATTTTATTTACATAATTTTCTCTTTAAAATGTTTCTTTTTTTTTTAATCGTACTTAAATTTAAAAATACCCATACGTTAATAGAGTGCTTAGTAGTTATTGAGTAAACCATGGATGTTCTTATTTTAAGGGAAAAAAAAATCTAATTAGAAAGCACATGTTAGACTGTTGCATATTATTAACATCGACTTCTCCTAAAGACTTGATCCCATTTGAAAAGAAAAAGCCTTTTGACGGAATATGTATTAAAACATAAGTATCATCAAATATTAGTTTATCACAGTGGAAATAAATTATGATATCAAATAGACTTATATGTTAAGAGTTTTAATTCTAGAATTGCAATTCTGAAAAAAAAAATCACCTAATAATGATCCTAAGGATTAATTTTACAATCATACTCGTGAGAAAACATAAGTACCATGCGGGAATTGAAAGAAACGAGAAGGAAAAAAGGAAACAGAAAAGGGAAAATTAACGTATGTTATGTATAATTGTAAAATTATATTTTTTTTAACGTATATTTAAAGATATATATATATATATATATATATATATATATTAAAAACTATAAAATTATACATTAATAATATTAAATATTATAATTTTGAGTAAACAAAAACTTTATTCTGAGATATAAATTGAAAAAATGATTAAAAACATATTCTGTAAAAAAAAAAAAGTATAGGGTGAGGGCGTTGGGTTGGGTGAAGGAGGCGAAGCACAGAATGATGGCCAAATGCTCTGTTCCGCCCCAACAGATTCGTCCATTTCAGTTTCAGAGCTTAAACGGTCTCCGAGAACTCGTCGAAACGCGTCGTTTCAAGGTCCCTCTTTCATTTCCATTTTCCCTTTTTTCTGACCAGTGAATGAATGAATGAATATCTGCCATTACAGGTATGGTTGTTGGACCAATTCGGAGTCCTCCACGATGGAAAACAACCTTATCCTGGCGCTATCTCAACATGTATCTATTATTCTACACTTTCCTTGTTTTCAGTTTTTGCTTGTTACATCAGACACCATCCTATATTCCTATATTCCTGTTTCCTATGTTATGTCTTATCCAAATCATGTCTATGATTTCTTTTAATAAATTTGATTTTTCTTAGTAGAAAACATAGCAAAGACGGGTGCTAAGATGGTGATCATAAGCAACTCGTCAAGACGATCCTCAGTGACTATTGAAAAAGTGAAGGGTCTTGGCTTTGATGCCTCTCTTTTTCTTGGGGCCATAACTAGTGGAGAGCTCACTCATCAGTACTTGCAAAGGTTCTGCTCTCATACTGTTATCTCAGAACAAATACCCTTATTCCTATTTTTCATTGCATGATTTAAGCTCCTTTGTTATGTATAACTATAAATTGTTTGTTACACTACATGTGTGTACAACATATGTCCTTGCTCTCCGTGTTCAATTTTTTTGATTCCCTCTTCGCTCTTTATATAAATTGTTGCGTTTTTAAACAGGAGAGATGATCCTTGGTTTGCAGCATTGGGAAGATCTTGCATTCATTTCACCTGGAATGGCCGGGGAGCAATATCTCTTGAGGTGTGTAGAGCAGCAATGTGTTTTAGCTTGAGTTCTGATATTCACCGTGTTTGGTTGCTGTTTCCTTAATATGGATTACTTTGTGCATTATAACATGCCATGATTGTTGGAGTAATTGTTTTCTTGGTAAATTAAGCAGTTACCTGGTTTATTAGTTGAATCAATTGGTCTGCTTACGTGGGTTTCCTTTCTTCTGACTGATTGAAGGAATTGGAAGAACTTAGGAATTTGATTTGCACTAAATATTAGATTGCCGAGGTCTTTTTTATTTTTGTCCAAATCTAAGTGAAATTATTTTCAATTATCGGCAATCTAAGGAAGATATATGTAAATAAATTTGAAGTTAAATAATGTATAGATGATTGTCGAGACTGAGAGAGTAATATATATACATCAAGGGATTTAAAATCTTACAGTATATTAATAACTTCATCTAGGGCTTAGACTTGCAAGTTGTGGAGAATGTTGAAGAAGCTGAATTTGTTTTGGCTCATGGTACTGAAGCCTTGGGGAATGCTGATGGGGGTGCACGCTCAATGAAACTTGAAGACCTTGAGACAATATTGGAGCTTTGTGCTGCCAAAGGAATTCCTATGGTGGTAGCCAATCCAGACTATGTAACTGTTGAAGCAAGAGACTTGCGTGTGATGCCTGGTGATTTTGCTTTGTCTTCTCCTTTCTCCTTTTAACTCATTCTAAAAGTTTAACACCTAACTAGTAATTATAAGTTACTTTTTCATCCAAAGTTGCTGCATAACATTTCTTTAAATAACATTGCAATTAGTATCATGTCAAATTTTGTTGATTAGGCTTCTTCTTTTCCTTGTTTACAGTTTCACCTTATAGGCTGACACCAATATCTTGTGTGTATATTTTAAAAACTTACTAGGTACCCTGGCAGCTAAGTATGAAAAACTTGGAGGTGAAGTGAAATGGATGGGCAAACCTGATGAGGTGATGGAACCGTTTCTATGTGAATAATTACTTCCATTTTGATAGTTGCTTTCTTTTATGTGTATTCTACTCTTGTTTGTACCTAGACTACTTAAATTTCATGCACATGACGGTACAAGGAAGAATACATTTTCATCTATTCCCTAACTGATATTATCCTTTCATACCCAGGGTATATAATTTTTTGGCTGCATATAATAACATGATTATATCTCTGTGGGTATCATTTTCTGTTGCATTGGCATATCCATCCTTACTCCGTGTTCTCTTGACATTATTTGTAACATTGATATTTGTCAGATAATCTACAAATCAGCAATGGCCATGGCTGGCTCAGATGTTTCTGAATGTATTGCTGTGGGCGATTCTCTTCATCATGATATTAAGGGTGCTAATGCTGCTGGAATCAAATCAGTTTTTATCACTGGTGGGATTCATGCAACTGAACTTGGACTTCATGGTTTTGGAGAAGTTGCAAATTCATCTTCTGTGCAATCGCTTGCAACGAAATATGATGCTTATCCATCTTATGTGTTGTCCGCATTCACATGGTAGAACATCATATTAAGGAATTTGAACGACTACACTTATATAACTGTAATTTTATTTTATTTTTTTTGCATTTTTGTTTTATTGACCATTGGTACGAAGTACAGACTGTTGTGTAAAGATAATTTGTACTATTTTTTTTGTCACTTTTTTAGGAAAAATTATTTTTATTTATTTGTTACTTTTAGATGTTTAAGATTATATTGATTATTTTATTAATTATATTAACTTAAAATAAAGGTGTAATTAATTAATAAGAAAGATAAAAGATATAATAGAAAATTAAATGATAATTTAATATAAACAAAAATATAAAATTTATTTATTTTTAGTTGTGTGTTAAAATCATAAAATAATAGATAAAAAGGAATGAAAAGAGTAATGGTTAAGGCTAGTCTGGCTTTCCTTGTGCTATTAAGAAACTGCTTTTAATATAAATGATGATAAAAGCTAAATAATTTTCGAATTAATCTTGTATTGACATTGACAGTGATATTGAAATTGATACATCCAATGTTATGGCTTTATCATGAAGATCCTCCTATGATATGCTCGACAGCAATTTTGCTGCAGCAATTACGTAGAGCATTTTTAGATTTTAGTATAACTAATCTAGAAATAACTGATATTTAAAAAATATTAATTTTGTTTAAAATAATAAAAACAATGTTACTTTTGAAGAATAAATATAAGTATTTTTGGAAAAGAATTGGTATAACTCCTACATTTAGAATTAATTGTTTACTTTAAAACAAAATTTTAACAATATATTCTTTTAAATATATTTTTTAATTTATCAGTTTTTAAAATATTAAAAATATTTTTTAAAATGATAAATTTATGAGATTAGTGTTTTAATTATTTTAAGATTAAAACACATATATAAAATGTGTTTAAAAGTATTTAAAAGAATATTTTACTGACTTTTTTAATAAATAAAATTATTTTCACTTTAAAATAATTTTATTTGCAATATAATTAATTTTGAGGATTAAAATATCTTGTAAAACAAGTTGAGTTATCGTC